TTTTCTGGGTTCCAATTGTCCTCCCTGCTAGCACCACCCTCTAGTTCCTTCCTCCTTGCTCCCTGATGCCTGAAATTCCCTTAATATGGAACAAAGGCTTTCATTTCATACAGAGTATTGAGGCTTAAAATGCAAGCACTCCTTAGAGAGGTAGCACAATGATTTAAATTCTCACCATGTAACTGAGGTATAAATGAGTGATCAGGTTTTTTCCTGAGAGCATCTTTTGATGAAGGAAAGACAGAAGAAGAAATAAGGATACTAGAAAAAGTGGCATTGGAGGAAAGGCAGTCACAAGAGGGTAAAGGGCACAGAAAGGAGATGGATCTGTGTGGCTTCAGCACCTTCAGTGGGTCCTGGGCAGCATGACGCAGGGGAGAGGCGTGGCCGTCTTAGGGAGTCAGCTCGGGTTTGAAACCCAGCTGTGCAGCCCTGAAAAGCTACCTCACCTCTGTGCACCTTAACTCCCTTACCTGTAAAATGAGGGAAATAAAACCTACCCACCATACAGACCTGCTTTGGGGATTGTTATTTTGATTGTGCTAAAATAACGTAACATAAAATTGACCATCTTAACCATTTTTAATCGTACAGCTTAGTGGCATTAAGTACATTCACATGGTTGTGTAACCATCGCTATTTCCGGAACTCTTGCAAAACTGAAACTCTGCACCCGTTAAACAATAACTTCACATTTCTCCCTCTTCCCAGCCCTTGATAACCACTCTTCTAATTTCTGTCTCTATGAATTTCACTGCTTTACGTACCTCATATAAGTGGAATCATGCAGTATTTGTCCTTTTATGCCTGGCTTATTTCATTTAGCATAATGTCCTCTAGGTTTGTCCATGTTACAGTACATGCCAGAATTCCCTTCCTTTTTAAAGGCTGATTAGTATTCCATTGTATGTATAGACCACATTTCGTTTATCCCTTCAGCCATTGCTTCCACTTTGGCTATTGTGTATAATGTGGCTATGAACAAGGTGTACATGTTTCTCTTTAAGAGCCTGCTGTCTTTTCTTGAGAGTTGCTTTGAGACTCTCAATTCTGGGTATTGACCCAGAAGTGGCATTGTTGGATCACATGTAATTCTATTTTTAATTTTTTGAGGAATCGCTATCCTGTTTCCCACAGAGCCTGCACCATGTTATAGTCCCAGCCACTGCACACAGGTTCCAGTTTCTCTACATTCCCCTGACACTTATATTCTTTTTTTAATAGTAGCCATCCTAATTTTTAAATGTAACCTGAATAAAGCTGCCCATGGCCACATCCAAAAGTCATACAGTCAAGTACATCCAACTAGAGAAGACTTGGAGAATAAGGCAGAGTTATTTATCACAGACGTCCTTGAAGGGCGTAGGGTCCCTCCTGTGCTCTCTCTGCCGTGCTGCTCCACAAAGGCCTTTGCTACCACACTGCGTCTCCTCCACCTCTCTGCGCGGCTCCTGCGATTTCCTCACCATCCCTTTTCAAGCATTCCTCTCTCATCTGACTTGCCCTGCTCTGTTTGACCTCCACAGGAAGCAGAATTTGGTCTCTATCCACTTGTCTCTCTTGGAAAGCAGCTATCTGGAATTCTGGTGAATAAATTTCTCCACTTCATTATACAGATAATGAAAAGCACTTGGCACATAGTAGATACTCAACAAATGGTAGCTAATCTTCTAGAATCTTCTAGTGCCTACCTCATAGGGGTACTATGAACATTAAGTGAGTACATAAATGCACGCAAAGTTCTTAGACCACCGCTGGCACTTAATAAGCACTCTCTGAGGTCAGCCGTTACTGTTGTGGTGGTGGTTACGGGGAGCCTAGGTCGTGAGGATCTAATCACTTTTTAGCAGGAGATGCTGCTGACAACTTTGGGTCCAGCTGACCAGGAAGCAAGTTACCTTGCCTTGGAGCGAAAAGTCTTTGGCTTTTCCAGAGCTTTAAAGTGTTCCTCTTTGAGTATGCAAATGTAAAGTGAACTGGCACCCACTGTCCTGGGGAAATGGAATGACAAGCTTTGGTAGCTTGACAAAAGCTGCTGTTCCCAACACACTTTTCTTTGTAGGGGGAGGAGATGAATAAACCTGTATGGGTTCTCAAGGAACCTCTTAAAAAGAAAAAGATCGAGAGG